TTCAATCTAGCATAGAGATTTAATTACAAGTAAGACTTCCTATTTTATAAAATGGTAGGACATAGATCCCATAGCTGAGATTAAAACGCCAAGAAATCTTGATCTTCCATTTTTCGAAACAGCATAGATTATGGCGCAACCTCAAATGTTTAAGAGAAGAAAATTTTAACGGAAATGATTTTGGGATAATTTTTTGTTTTATTTTTTTTTGTATAATCTAATGTATCATTTAAATTATTAATTTTTTAAATTTATATGAGATTTGTAATATTAAATATATGCACTAATTTAATAACATGTGAAAATTATATCAAAAGATAGTATAAAAAAATTATTTTTATATCACAACCCAAATTTTAATGAGTTTTGAGGTGTAATTAATTTACTTTTTAATAATTATTTTTTTACAAAAAATATAAAAATTAATATTAATTTTAATATCAATATTATTTATATGATTTGCATCTAAGCCTCACAGCTCAACCGCAATATATCAATCATAAAGTGCATCTTTCCGACCTCATGATTGGAATTTGAATCCCCTCACCCTCAATTTACAATCCTGTTCAAACAAAAAAAATATATTTATATGATTTTAATTAACCATAGCCCACGGATTAAAAAATTGCATTGTTTTTCAATACGAAACCTCATTCCAGACCCCAGAGTCTTGTTTATAAATTCCTGCTAGGATCTTCCCAGTAGCCAAAACGCCAAGCTCCAAATCAAACTTTCTGTATTCTCTGTTTCTGGAGCAATCTGTCCATTTTTCTGCAAATAATGCAAAATTTGCCACCGCCGTACCATTGTCAACGTCATTTCAACCCGAATTCAATCTGTGCAAAAAGCCACGGTTTCGGTTAGCCTCCTCGCCTTTTCCATCTTCTACCTATTTCATTTCTTTTTTCTCTCTTCTAATCAATCGTAGACTCTGAAATTGTTCGCGTCGACTGATCCTTCTCCGCATGCAGGTGCCTGAGGCAGGGGAAACAGAGGAATCCGTCGTCGTCGTCGTATGGGGGATATAGGCAGCAAAAGAGAGGAGGAGAGGTTTGAGGATGGAGAGTACGAGGTTGAGGACTTGAGAGAGCAAATCAAATCATCGAGATCGAGCAGATTGGATCTCTTGGAGAACGAGCTCGGGATCGGTGGTGCTCGGAGGAAGTTCAGTCGCGAAAAGCTCATCAATGGCATCAAAGATCTCTCCAGAGGCTTCGTCATTCTTCCTGAAAAGAGGTTCCGAATCTCAATCTTTCGTTAATTTCTCTCCATAATTACTTCAATTCCAAGTTTGTTTGGTTGCTTGTGTCTATTCCAAAAAGAAGAAAGAAAAAACAGACAGTTTTTCTCTTTTTTGAGTTGAGTAAAAGAAGGTAGTTTTTCCCGCGCGGGATATGATTGGATGGAGTTGCTACGTCAGCGCGTGATTTTGACTTTTGGGATCCGTTGACTGAAATAGACTTTCTTTTTTAAAAAAATGATTTTTGTATAATTTTTTTGTTCTATCTTTTTATATAACCTTATGTATTATTAAAATAACTATTTTTTTTAATTTATATGAAATTTATGATATTAAATTTATTTATTTATTAATATTACGTAAAAATTATATAAAAAATAATATAAAATTTTTTTTATAGCACCATTTTTTTGTTTATTTTTGTTGTGAAAATTATGTTATTATAATATTAGGTAATATTATAAAATTTTAATATAATATGTAATTTTATAATTATTTTATAATTTTTTAATTAAAAATTTGTGTTTATTAAATTATAAAATATAAATTATTAAATAAAAAAATTCTAATATAAAAAAAACCGTTCTATCTAATTTAAAATTATACTATGTAAAAAAATTCTAATTATGCCATATT